TATACGGGTCTGCCGCAGCGCGCCGCTCAGCTCACGGCGAGGTGCCGGCGCCACCCAGCGCGCCCCGCGCCGCCGCATGCTAATGAGGGCACGCCCCCGCGCCGCCGCATGCTAATGAGGGCACGCCCCCGCGCCGCGGCCGCCTCTGCGTTTGTAGGAGCGTTGCCTGCGCTGGGTCTGGCCAAGACAAACCGTGATAGCGGTGCATGGGATACGGGGTTAACGTGGCGTGTCCCGGCTTGCAAGGACGAGACATGCTCAGAGCGAGTGAGCTGCGCGGGGCTCCGCTCCAGACCTCCTCGGGTTGCTGCGAGTCGGGCTGTGAGCTGCTAAAGCAGAGCAGGCTGTGGCTGCCTGCAGCAGGGGCAGCCCGGCCTCTGCTGCAGCCAGGTGGGGAGGCAGGAGTTGGGTGTTTACTTGCTTGCACTTGGTCCGTTGCACTGTTTGGCCTCAACACCGTGGGGGCATGGGGATTAAGGGTGAGGAAATGAAGAGGTGGAATCTGTCTCATTTGGTGTGTAGCTGGTATATGTGACTCAGGTGTGGGGCTTCAAGGAAAGAACTAAAAAGGGAAAGGCTGGGGGGCAATGATGGCCTCTTGCAAGGGGGAGGTACTTCATTAAGGGCGAGAAGTTGTTGTCTCTTAGCACTCTTTTGTGCAAAGGTGAGGTAGGCTGGCTGCCTGGGCTGAGAGGAGTTTATTTTTTCCTGTACTGCTTTGGGCAATCCACAGGCAGTGAGACCATCTCTGTGCTAAGCAAACCATGTGAGTTTGCTCAGGGAAGGTTGTAGGCAAGGCATCCTCTTGCCTGATGTCATGGTACTGGTGTGTGCTCTGGGAGGGCTCTTGGGGTGCAGCCTTTCAGTGGGAATAGTGAATTCATAGACCTGCGCAAGTACGTGGAATGTCTTGGGGAACCTTAGCACCTGGGTGGCTGGAGAGGAATATCTCCATTTCAGAGTTTGCTCATGAGTTGCTTTCTTACGGTCTCCCAGTGAACCTGCAGTAAACTGGGACTAAGACTCTCTTCCTCACCTTCTCCTGAGAGCACTAGAAATACATAAACCTGACACTAATCGTTGTTCTGACTGATAACAGCCATTAGGGCCTGTAATCTGAGATGAAGTTGCTGCTATGCGGAGTGTTGTACGTGCTGCCTAGGGGAGCTCTGAGCTGGGAGGTGAAGGGAAGCCATGCTCCCCAAGGAGAGGTGCTTTCCGGAGGGGTGAGCGTGTGCCAGGCTCCCCGGTGCAGGGCGCTGGCTGCTTCACCTTGGCCTTGCTGTGTCTCTGCAGTGGCTGTGTCTTCAGGAGGACCCTTGAGAGCCTGGGAAGAGGCAGCTGAAGATGCCTCTAATCGAGGCCATGCTCAGACATTGATCTGCATTTCTGTGGTTCTCTATGACCTGCTTGTGGGGGCTATTTTCTAGCAGACTGACACGGTGAAGAGCGGCAGTAGGTTGGATGCAAAACTGCTAGAGATGCTAGGGGGAGCCTGTGATGTCTGTCTTTGCTTGATCCACAAAGTCTGGAAGTTTCTGTAGGCAACAAAGCACCTTGGCTATGTGTCTGTGACTCCCTCTGAGGTGAGTCCTGTTCTTGCTCCTCTTGGTAAAACTTCATTACGATCCACTGGGTCCTTAGAAATAAAAAGTGCAGTCTAGAGGTACTGGAAACGCATCAACAGCTGCCAGCTGGGATGTGGGAGCTGTAAGATCAGTAAGAGTGGTGAACCCTGAAGACTGCCAGACGCAAATACTCTCTGTCCCTGGGATGAGTGTCCCCCTTTCAGGGGAGTAATGGCTGGAGAGCAGCAGCGTGTAACTGTCCCCTGCGGCCCCGCTTGGGGAAAGCAGGGCCCCGTCTCCGAGGAGATGGGTATCTTAAACAGGGGAGGTGAAGAACTGAGCACCAGAGAGACAAGCCCTCTCTTCCAGTGTCTCTTGATGAAGTTCTTTGTCACTTTACCTCTACTGCAGGCCCAGTCCTTGGGCTCATGGGAGGGAGAAGGTAGATCCCCCAGCTAGGGCCTTCTGGGCATGCACTTCCCCATCTGTGTGCACCCCAAGTTTGCAGATGCTGCTTAGAGGATCTTAAAGTGATGCCATTGGGTAGTGATTTGATGCTGCTTGTCTGATGGGTTGAGATGACCCAAGGAATCATAGAATCTGTAAGGGACCTCTAGAGATCATGTAGTCCAAGCCCCCTGCTCCAGCAGGGACACCCAGGGCACAGGGTGGCATCCAGGCGGCTTTTGAAGATCTCCAGAGAAGGAGACTCCACAGCCTCTCTGGGCAGCCTGTTCCAGTGCTCTGGCACCCTCATTGTCAAGAAATTTTTCCTTAAGTTCCTGTGGAAATTTTGATGCTTCAGTTTGTGACCATTTCCTCTAGTTCTGTTGCTGGCCACCAGTGAAAAGAGGCTGGCCCCATCCTCCTCACTGCCCACCTTGAGGTATTTGTAGATAGTGCTCAGGTCCCCTCTCAGCCTTCTCTTCTCCAGGCTGAACAGGCCCAGCTCCCTCAGCCTCTCCTCATAGGGCAGATGCTTCAGGCCCTTGATCATCCTTGTGGCCCTGTGCTGGACTCTCTCCAGTAGCTCCACATCCCTCTTGTACTGGGGAGCCCAGAACTGGGCACAGTTTCCCTGAGTGCTGCTCTCTGACCCAATCTTCTTCTATCCAGGGCAAGTCTTCCTCTCTCCAGGATGCTGTGAGGAAGATTTTATCCTCTAGGATCAGTGAAGGCAGTCTATATTAAACACCCACCACTCTAGGGGTGGGCTGAGGGTTTTGCCCTGGGCCTGGGGTCTACCTATGGCAAAACACTGGCTTGGACATATTGCAGAATTACAAACCTGCTCTGGTGGTGGCGATGCTTCATCCCCTCCCACTGCTTGCCCTATGCAACAACCCAGCCTGTCCCATGCAGAGCTACTGAGCACAGTCACGTGGGTGTCCAGCTTGCAGTGCTGGCATCCACTTCCGGGATGTTTCCAGTCCCTTGTGTGTCCTGCCGGGTGCGGCAAGGCCACGCTCATTTAGACTTGTTATTTATTGAAAGAAGTGCGGGGTGATGACCTTGTCTCTGCCCCTTCAGCTCTTGGTGACACCTGTGATGTGGCTGGTCTTAAGAGGTCACTCATGTTTCCCCACTTAATGATCTGCTGTAGAAAATCAGCTTTTGTCTCTTGCTCAAGTGTCAATGGAACATGAATATTAATGAAGCCTTGGTTGTCCTGTGGTGCTGGCTGTCACACAGCCATGGAGGCCCCATTGGGCAGCGCAGGGAGCTCCCTGGTGGAGCTTTAATGAAGTGTTCATGAACTCCGCTCTCTGAGGTGCTGCTCAGGCCTCTGACCCTGCCGGCTCCTGGCACAGCCAGGCTGGCCTGGACTAGGCCCTTGTGTAGCAGTGTGAGCACTAACAGCATGGAGGCCCACAGGGTGCTTTGGACACCCCTGTCACGGGGCTGTTTGTTGGCTGCAATGTCAAGTAGAAAATGGCCTGGTTAATGGGAGCTAACACCATGTGAGGGTTTGAACTGGGATCGGGAAGGAGAGGGGCAGAGGCAACACAACATCTATTTAACTGGCATCTTCTTCCTGCTGTAACCAGCTGGGAATCAAATACAAGCTTTGGGATTCCTGGCTGTTGTCTGTTGCATGCACGAGGAAAGAGCATAATTTTGAGCCTGTGGGAAGCAGCCTTCTGCTGTGTTAATTTGGGCAAGCCCCTTTCTACTCCTGTTTTCCTGTGTTGAAAAGTAGGGGTAATGATTAAGACCTTCCATATAAAATACATACCTTTAGAAAAACTAGGCTTCTGCCTAGTGCTTGGAATATACTGGACAAACTGTGTCCTGTGCCTTTAAACAGTGCATGTTTAATACACATGCTCTACAAATGGCATGAATGGCAGTAAAATTGCTACCCAAAAGATGAACTTGAAGAGATGACCCCAGATCTAGGTCTCTTGCTCAGAATGCTGCTGGGTCTCCGGGAGCAACAGCCCGGGGTAAGCAGTTTGGGGTGGATGCTTGGTGACATGATCATGTTTCTGTGGAGTGTAGCTGTTTCACTCCTGGAGAAAGAGAAGACTAGGGGGGAGTTCAGCAAAACTGCCTTGTCCTTCTTCACTTGCAGCAATTCCTTTTCCCCCCACAACCTGCAGTTCACTGCCCATAGAGGTCCTGGGGCCACTGGTTTTGCTATTGAGCATCTTCCCTCAAAAACTTCTTGCATCAGCAGGTGTAGGAATTTCCCCCCTGCTGAATTGGTTTTTTCCCCAGGTTATGTTTGACAGCCTCCTGCTGCAGAGAGGGGCTTGGAAACCCATCTGTGATCAAAAGGAGCATTGCCTTTCCTGTGTATCCTGCCAGCTATGGCAAAACTGTGCTCGTTTGCTTTTAAAAACCAGTGAAAGCTGGCCTGTGTTTTCTCCAAGCTATGGCTGTTTCAGGCTGTTGTGTCTTAGCAGTATG